GTGGAAATGCTCCTCTTATGAGTTGTTTGAAGTCTTTTTTATTTAGTAGAGCCCTGTGGTGAAACTTTAATATGGTAAAGAAGCGCTATCTAAATGCTCTGCCAACCTAATTTATTTTCTACTGTATTTGTTAAATCTGGGGTTGGGTTTTCTGATGAGTAACAGACTTAATCATCTCTCTACGTATACGTGTACTGGAGTTGAACTGTTCCTGTTCTTCTCTGCCACTTGTGGCCTCTGGCAAGTGCATTACTTCTCTGATCTTAGATCTGCTCTAAAATAAAATGTGTTTAACACCATCTGTTTTGTTTATACTCTCAGCAATGTTGGGACGACCAAGCAAGCAAATATACATGAAAGTACATAATAACAATTACATAATAACTAAGATAATAACAGTTTTATAAGTAAATAATGACAATTACAGTAAAAATAATAATGGCTTTTTTCAAAAATGCTAATTTTTATTTCAAAGGCAGAGCAAAGGAGACATAGAGAGACTTTCCATCAACTGGTTCTTTCTCCAGAAACCCACTAAAGCATCGGCTGAGCCAGGCCAAAGCCAAGAGCCCAGAACCCCAGCCAGGTGTTCCATGTGGGTGGCAGGGAATCAAGTACTTGAGCCGTCACTGGCTGCCTCCCAGGTGTGCACCAGCAGGAAGCTGGATGGGTAGGAGAGCAAGGAGTAGAACCTCCAATATGGGATGGGTGTCCCAAGCTGTGTCTTAATTGCCATGACAAACATCCACTGCTATTTAGCATTTATTATGTCAGGCAGAGCTTTACAGGAATTACCTGATTAATTCTTACAACAACCCTAAGATGAAGGTTCTGTTATTATCTTTATCTATCAAATAGGAAATCGAGGCATAGTTTTAAGTAACTTGCACAAGTCACAAGGGTAGTAAGTAAGGAAGTTGAGATAAACTGCCACATACTGCCTACACACTAAGGCTTGGTGAAAAATGATATAAAGTATGATAGAGACTGCAACAGATGACACAGTAGAACACATCACAGAAAAATAAAATAATCACCATTTTATAGATGGTATATGTGACCCAGCAAGGTTTCCCAGCTTAGCTAATGTCAAGTATTACAATTTCAGAATATTTTTAATTTAGATTACATTTAGAATACATATAAGGTACTCTATAGACATTTTAGTTACTGTTATTCAAAACATCCCATTTTCTGCAGCTGGGTCCCAAAGCACATCATGTGTTTTAGATAAAATTGCATAATTTTCTATGGAAAGTACTAATTGAGCACTTATAGTATCTGGATTTGAAGAGTAGCAAGAAATAAATAATCTCAAGTATGAACTTTTTTTTCTTTTTCCCTGATTATAAAAAGAAAAAAGAACCCTATAAATGCACATAATAACCAAAAATCAAAATTTCAGAAATAGATTTTCATTCATTTCTTTTACTATTTGCATAATGATACTGAGTAATATCCAAAAACCAGTTAAAATAAGGCAGAGACAAGCTTACTAAAAGAAGAGAGCAATGACTTTAAAAGGGACATGGGCATAATCCTTGTGGACCAACTGTGTGCCAGGCACTCACTACCTTCTGGGCACAAAGAGCATGGCTGCATTCCAAGGCAGACAGAACTGGGTCAAATCTGGTTCTTCCACTATGATCTGAGTGGCCTTGGGCAAATGTACTTACTTTGAGTCTATGAAGAGCTTCTAAACACAGAGCTCAGACAGCTGCTCCTCTATGGTCAAATGTCTGCAATCCAGGGCAACTGCTATTCCCTCTAAGGGCTTGTAAGACTCATCATCTTGCTTCAAAATCCACTTCACAAGCCTCTAAAGGTACATTTTGGAGTCTTTCAGGGTCAGACTGGCTTGTCTAAGTAGCTACAAGGGATATATCATGTGAATGTTCTGGACAATGAGGGCTCTGTTTTTCAATGAACCAAATGGGTATGAAGAATTTAAGTGAGTAAAGATTTCCTTTGTAGTAGGCACATTAATGCAAAGCAGGCATGCTCTAGCTTTTTGGGCACCCCACCCTCTCAGATGGAGGCCCACTCACCTTCACTATATGTCCTTTCCAGACACACACCAGAGTTGAGCACAAAAGAGGAAAAGAAGTTTTCGTATCTTTGGGAATATAGTCTGTGATTTGATGGTACCGCACAGTATACTTAGTTGGCTGGAGTTTGAGTGGGCAGTTGAGGGTGAATCTCATATCAACTAGTAACCCACAGGATGACCTATGCAGCTCAAAATGTGCATACTCCAATCACCCTTTGGTTCCATGGCCTAGGTTCTGCTCAAGCAGATTTGCCTGCTGTCTAATATCTAACTCAGTCCATGGGATCTTTGGACTTGAGGTTGCCAAAGATGGGTCACCATGGAGCCTCAAAGCTCTGGAAAAAAAATCTCCTTACTGAGATGCTGAACACCATATTGTCTGCATAGCTGATTCTTTGGGTTCCTTATTTTCTATTTATTTGAAAGAATGATAGAGAACAGGAAAAGAGAGAACCTGATCTTCCATTCTTTGTTTTACCCCCCAAATAGCTGCAGTGGTTGGGGTTAGGCCAGGTCAAAGTCAGAAGCCAGGAACCCACATGGGTGGTAGGGATAAACAGTTGGGCCATCTTCTGCTGACTGCAATGCACATTAGCAGGGAGCTAGATCAGAAGCAGAGCAGCCAGGACTCGAACTGGCACTCCAGTATGTGATGCTGATGTTGCTGTGTCTCAACTCTGGCTCCTTTGCTGGTTACTGTTAGGTCCCTGTACTCAGATTTCTGTGATTATAGTCCCCAGGATAATCTCAGTCTACAACCATGGCACAGGAAGCACTTTTAAGCTCTGGAATTAAATTGCTCCTGAAAGAATGTTGAAAAATGGTAAAGCAGAAAAATAGTGCTGGGAGCTTGAGGACAGAAAATATGTATATTACAGAACCACAGGTTATTAGGACTTAATCCGCACGTGAGTATCAAGCCCTTCTTGTGTACCATTTACATGTGCTCAAAAAATGGTAGCTGGTATTAATAGTAATTTGGCAAACTCAAGAGGCTTCCATAGCCTTGGCAGCTCATGACAAGAGCCTCAGGTGATTACTGACATCATAAATAAGAGTGTCAATCATTAAATCAACAACAGGAGTCACTGTGCACTTACTCCCCATGTAGAATCTCTGTCCTTAATGTGTTGTACTATGAGAATTAACGGCATAACTAGTACTCAAAAAGTACTTTATAGTTTGTATTTCTGTGTGGGTGCAAACTGTTGAAATCTTTACTTAGTATATACTAAATTGATCTTCTGTATATAAAGATAATTGAAAATGAGTCTTGGTGAAGAATGGGATGGGAGAGGAAGTGGGAGATGGGATGGTTGCGGGTGGGAGGGAGGTTATGGGGGGAAAAGCCACTATAATCCAAAAGTTGTACTTTGGAAATTTATATTTATTAAATAAAAGTTTAAAAAAATAGTAATCCCCAAAGAACTCCTGTGTAGTAGCCCTGTCACTTTTGGTTAGTCCTGTTGGTTGTCCATCTTTGTTAATTACAGATAAGGAAATTGAAACAAAGAGCCTAGGGAGCTTGTCTAAGTTTGTTTATTATGTATGGAGTAAAATGGTGACTCAGAGGGTGGCAATTTGGGCTCTTGACCACTATGATCTTTAATCCCCCCTGTTTAGGTGTGGAAGCTGAGACCCACAGACATATGTGTTAATGCCTAAGGTCCTTCTTGTTTAACTTTGACACAAAGCACAAATCCCAGTTACAATCCCTTTTAAAGGGTAAGTGACTTCTAACCTGAGTCTGGGACTCATTTATGCAGTCAAGAACTTTTCAGTCTCTAATGCAGACACCAACAAAGTACACAGACTCACAGCAGATTTTCAGACAACAAGGCCAGACAGTGCTCCATGACATCTTCAGGTCTCTGACAATGGCAATGCTGGTAGAGCTATGGAAGATCTCTGCAAATGCATGCCAAGGGCTTTATCATAAGACCTGGCAGCTCGTGATTAAAGAGGCACTAACTCCCCACATCCGAATGCCCTGTCAAACATTTTCCACATGTTGCTTCGAGCCATGATAAAGTGTTTCCAGTCAAACACATCAGCTTTCTTTGTCCAGCCCCTTTCCACTCAACAGGGTTGCAGCTGAGTTGAAGGGACTTGTTCACAGTCATGCAGCAGGTTAGTGCAAGGCAGGACCAGGACCTGTAATAAGGGATTGCACATACCCAGGTTCAAACAGCATTAGCTCAAGGACTCACTCTGTGGACCTAACTCCTGGTACACAGTCTAATTATGTTTTAACCATTGTAAAAATGTTAATTTTCCAGATTATCCAAGGAAAACTTTAGGGTCAAAACCAGAAATCTTCTGGCTAAAAATAGCCTTCAAATATGTACAGAACCTTCTTTTGATAAATGACAGCCAGCCACAGAGCTAGAAAAATAGATATATAACAGAGAGAGAGAGAGAGAGGCAGAGAGAGAGAGAGAGAAAGGGAGGGAGAGAGAGAGACTTTGCCCTTGATATACACATAAAGGGTTGGAAACCGTAATGGACAAACACCATCTATCCTGGGACTACAGCGGTGTCAGCTGTGAACAAGCTAGGGGCTTTCCCTGAGCCTGCCTGGCACGGAAAGCCCTAAGGGACACTCTGGGCCGCGCCCAGAAAAGAGCTCCCGCGGAGAACTGAATGCAATTGTACAGTCTCCCTCTGGGTCACCTGGGACGCCTGCACTGGGCGGAGGGATCCCAGGGGAGAAAGTGGCGGAAGGGAGCTAAAGCAATAGTAACAATGCCGGCGGTATACCCGAACTTTCAGCTAGAGCGAGAAACTTTTTATTTGCTTTGAAACCAAGTTTCCAATCCATCAGTACAAGCCTCTCTCGGCGAGGGAGCGGTCGATTCGGAGCTCACCCTTGGGCCGGAAGCCGCGGCCCCTGGGCTCAGAGAGCAATTGCGAGGCGCTCGCACCCACCGTCCGCTTCCCGCGCGCTCACCTGCGATGTCCCAGAGCTGCAGGCGCACCACAGTCTCCGGGTCCCAGTGCAGCACCTTGAGCGCGAAGTCCACGCCGATGGTGGCCCGGTAGTGCGAGGAGAAGTTCTGGTGTACGTAGCGCTTAATGATGCTGGTCTTGCCCACGCCCAGGTCACCGATCACCAGCAGCTTGTACAGGTGCTCCTTGTGCGGGGCCTGCATCCTGGCTGCCGGCCCGCCTTGCCGTGCCTGGCGGGGGAAGCGCAGCCCGGGTTAGGCAGGAGAGAGACTCGGGGAGCGCGAGTGTGGGCGCAAGGGAGAGGCTGCGGCGGCGGGGCGGGGGCCGAGGGGCGGAACTCCTCCCCCAGGGGTTAATCCTCCTTCCTACTCCGCGGTCTTGGGAAGGGGTGGAGACAGGAGCAACTCCACAGGCTGCAAAACCGGAGGCTGGTGCGCTACTGCCTGTTGCACCACTTCTTCGTAACCTGCCTTACAGTTTCCAAGGAGCCCTCCTCCCCTTCGATCCTGGTCACAATCCTTTGAGGTGTGGCTTTAGTTTCCATGTTCTGCGTGAGAGAACGCAGTGTCAAGAAGTTCTGTGCAGGAAATGACAGTCAGTAAAAGACCCCGTTGAACACAATACTCCTGAGGCCGCCGAGCGGGTCACCACCTCACACTGTAGAGAGAGCTTGGAGAAGCAATGGAGACTAGCCAATCAGAAAGCCCAGCAAGGGGCTTGGGTCCCGAATGCCTAAGGGTTGAATTGAGGGTCCTGGACTAGCCCTTTAAGCTCCCTGAGGCTCTGAGGCTCCCTCTTCCTCGTTGAAATGATAATACTGACTGCAAAGTAGCTTGGAGTAGGTGAAAGCAGCACTTTCACTGCTATTCAGTTGTTAATGGTCTAACCAGGACAGTTGGGCTGAATTTGCGGGAGGTATCCGAGTTTTTAGCCACCTCCCCCCTCCTAAAAGCTCTGAGCAGCAGTTTAAACATCTGGTCTGGCGATCGTCCGTTAATAGAAAGCATTTATCTAGCACTTACTGTATGACAAAGTTCTTATAGATTGCCTTACTCAATCATCCCCAGCAGTAACAAAACAGGTACCATCATTCTTCCCGTTTTATGGATGCAGAAGCTAAGTAGTAGGAATTTTAAGTAATGTACCCAGGGTCAAACGACCAGTAAGATACAAGCCAAATGACCAGTAAAATAAAAGTTCAAAACTAAGCAGGACTTTCAAGTGCCTCCCACGGGGGCAAGAGATGTGTCTCTCAGGGACAGTGGCCAATCAGGGTGAGCGAGCATTTTGGTGAGGCAGGATGTATGTCCAAATTGTTTCATTCATTTTTTTTTCATTCATTTATTTAATCAACATACATCAGGTGTCTACCATGTGCCCTGAATAGAATAATAATCAAAGAAGCAAAGGTTCCTGGCAGGGAAGGGGGGTATAAAAAGTTGGTATGGGTCGGCCTTTTGGAAAGGGTTGCAATTCAGCGAAGATCTGAAGGAAGTGTGACAGTGGATACACAGGTCTTGGGGACTCATGTTCTATGTCCAGTGAGTTATTTTATACCCAAGTGTGCTGGGAATGAAGTTCTGGCCGCACTATCTCATTTCATCTTTCCAGTTCCCTTGTGGAGTATTTTGTTCAATTTGTAAATGAAGAAACCAAGATTAAGAGCAGTTTTCCCAAGGCTAGACATGGCTACAAAATGTAAGAACTGGGATTTAAGCACAGGCCTGTGTGGAACTGGGAGTGGAAGCCTTGACATGTCCAAGGTCTTCCGGCCCTTCTTCCTTGGACATGACACACGAGGTCTTCAGTCTCCAGAGCTTCTCCCGAGCAGTTGGCTGCCCTGTGCATGTGTGCCTGGACAAAATCTTGTGATCTGTCTGAGCTTTGGTTTCCACATCAAAAAAACAGGAATGATAGTAACATCCACATGATAGGGTTGTTGAAGTGTATAGATAAAATATGTAATAAAAATGCTGGGCTCATATTAGGTACTGAATAAATGATGGCTCTTAATGTTAAATGAGTGACAAGCTTTAAGCACTGTTGGCAAGTTTTGTCTAGTTCAGCTTTATGTCCCCTCAGGGAGTAATTCAGAAGCTTTGTTCATAATGGATACTAAGGGAAGGTATGTGGAATTATATTGATTTGTGTTTAGTTGAAGTGTTTAGAGAGGGAGGCCTCATTCGCTGGTTGCTGCCCATGCAGGTAAACACCAGGCAGGTTATATCTAATGTTTTCTACCAGCTTAGAGAATTAGCCAACACTGTGCCTCCACTTCACAGGGAGGGAAATTCAGGAGCTAGAGTGTTTAAGTCATTTGTGGCACCTACATAATTAGTGATGATGACAAGGTAAGAACCTTGCCAGATGTAAAATCTATAGATCTCTAAGATAAGTTCGGTGTGGGTTAGGAATTGATGGTGCTAAAAACAAGGAGAGGGGTAGAAGTTCGAGACATGATGTAAGCCGGTCCTCAGTGTTATACCTGACCCAACTTCTTTGCAGGCCCCAGTCTGTTTTCCCAAGTGAGGTCCACACTGAGTCTTCTTTACCCTCTTGTGGTCTTCCCTTCTGATAGGGACCTATTAGAACTCAGACATCTAGATTAGTGATGTGGAACAGGCAGCATAAGATTCAGATGTTTCTGGAACACAACATTTATAAAATTGAGATAGAGATGTTTAAACAACAACAATAACAACAAAAATGCAGAATTAGATCCAGAACCTAGCTGGGGTCCTGAAAGGTTCAGTTCTTTGCCCCTGTGGGGGCAGGAGATAGTTCTCCAGGACAGTGGTCTACCACTGAGAGCAAGCTCCCTGACAAGGCAGGAAGTATGTACAATTTGTTTCCAGAGGCATTCATTTAGGTCTTGTGATAATTCTTCATAGTGGGAAGAAATTACTCTTGGTTTATATTTTTCAGTCTTTTAGACTGAAGTGACTTTGTGAGCACCCCAGGCTAGCAGTTCAGTGGAATCTTTGTAAAAAGGATTCTAGGTCTCTGAACCTGAAAGTCTTCTGGGTAAAATGAGAGTGTTGGGCTTTAAGCTCTCTGGAGAGTCCTTGTGACTGTAAAATATCAGAATTCTGGTCTTCTATACATTATCTGGTAGGAGTGAAATGCCAGCCAATTTAAGTCACCCCACAATGGCCCCAGTACCCAAGAGGTGGGGTTTTCTGTCCTGTACTCCCTTTCCACCTCTTTGAAATATTTGGTAGAAGGGTTGTAGAAGAACCATCTCAGAACAAGCCTTTCCTCAGTTACTGCACACTTGTCCCAAGAAAAGTCCTCTCCAAGCACATTTTTCAGAGAACAAACCTTTCTGTTCCTCCTGTCTTGCTTTGAGTTTATTTCTCTCAGAGCTAGGCTGTAGTCAGGGAACTGAATAGGTGGGAACAAGCTTTCTACTAGATATAGAGCAACAGTCTTCAGATGGCAGGGGCATTAGCAAGCAGGCAGCATTCCTTTCTCTATCACTCCCTTTACAATGACAATGCCACACAAGAATCCGTATGTTACAACTTGAGAATCCACCTGCCCAAGATGCCTTATGGCTGTTCAGAAGTATACACTAGCTTCTTCCTGACAGGAGCCCCCAAAGACCTGGTGATCCCTCCTCTGGGGAGAACGACTGGGCTTGTACCAGGCAGTTCCTCCACACTGCACAGGGAAACTGATTTTCCACAGTAACATTCGAAGCACCACTGGCAATGTTCTGACAATTTTACTACCCTCAAATTGTTAAACCATAGCATATCCATTCTTGAAGAAGAGAAAAGCAGGTGACTAAAGATTGTGAAAAGTGTATAAGACCAAAAAACACTCAAAATTAATGTCTGAAATAGTATCCCGGAAGGTATAGCATCATATTTCTCTAATCTACATTCCCTTGCTGTCCAACATGGGTATGCATATTTGCATTTATTAAGAGGGAAAGCTAATTAAAATATTTGGAAATTGCTTTGCAAATATAAATGTGAAAGGACAAACCCTCAAGTTTCCCTCTCAGGGCTGCTGTATTAGGTAAACTCCTGTGAAGTTACTTTATTTGCTTTTGCCATTAAGAGAGCCATAGGGAGTTATTCATTAGCTTCTGTGAACTCTCAATTATTGCAACAAAGAAATACTTAAATGACTACAAGATAGGGTACCAAAGGCTTAGTAAGATAATCTTTCTTATATTAATTCAAGGAATATATATATATATATATATATATCATTACATTTTATTACTTATTCACTCATTTATTTTTGTTAGAGAGTGGGAGCAAAAGAGAGAGAGAGCTCTCACAACAGTCAAGGCTGGGCCAAGCCAAGACCAGGAGCCTAGAACTCAATAAAGTTATTCCACATGGGTGCCAGAGACCCAACTGCTTGAGCCATCAACTGTTGCCTGGCAGAGTATGCACTAGCTTGAATCAGTAGCACAGCCAGAACACAAACCCACTTCATTCAGGGATGGAGGAATCCCAGGCAGTGTCTTAACTGCTGTGCCAAATGCTGGCCCCGGGGAACATATCTTTAAAAAGATGGACTGTACATTGGAAATGGCCTATGAGAGATGACTGTATGATTTGTCTTCCAAACTGGGACTCTTAAGACTGATGGTGAGTTATTAATAATTAAACTATACAATGAGAAAAAGTCATACCTGTTCTAAGGACTATTCGTTCCTAAAGCAGAGGGTTAGTTATCTCAAATTGGATCTGCATCTAACAGTTGCATTTGAAATATCTCCCAAATCACTATTTTAATAAATAGGCCTGCCAAGTTAAGACTGCAGCTCATTTCTCTGTTTTCTTCAAAGAATTTCCTTTTACCCACTAGGCTGGCTGAAATCTATGCTAACTTATGATAATAATAGGAGTTATGTCTAGTATTGATTCGGGATTTCAGCACTTGTCTGGAAGTGGGCAACAACTTTTATGTTATTTGGAGAGAGGACAAGATGAATTCAGATGGGAAGTGATTGAAACGGATACATTTCAGTCAATGAGAATTTATGGAAGCTTTTGTTTCTTTGTTTTTTTTTTTTTCCCCCACAAAGAAGGACTGTAGTAGGATCTTTACTGATTATCATCAGAAACTGATGAGCATTTGAACCCACTATTAGTGTGAATCAAGGAAACTAGATTATGCCCTAAACGATTTTCAGCAGATTTATTGCCAACTAAAATTAGGTTCCACTGCTGTACATATTAAACTTATATTAGGCAGACATGTCTGAGTTGGGGCTCATTTTCCTCCTAACCCCTCTGACATGGATGACTGGAAATGAGCTATGAAATGGGCAAAGGCAAGCATCTGAGAAGAACATAGAGCAAATGATTCTGTATGTACTACAATCC